GATACAATTAAAAGTTAATATTTTAATTTTTAAAATTTGGAATGGAAATAGCTTTGACCTCAGCCTTGGATCTGCTCCTCGCGCTCCTGTCCCCCCATCGACACTGCTCTCGAATGGACTCCCACCCATCTGATCCCACTCTCTTCCCACTCTTCTTTGGAAGTCACTTTTTCACTGTGATTTCTCCTAGTCACATACCCTCCCCGGGACATCTCGCGCCTCATTATCATTACATACAGTGTGACAAACTGCTTCTTCTGTTGCTCACAATCCGTCTTCACAAGTACAACAAGGGGTAGGAAATTTTGGTAGTGATTTTGCTGCCACCCAGTGTGCACAACTGAGGGCCATGCCGAGGGTCCTCTCATCTCTGCTGCACTTGTAGACAACTGTTAGTGTATACACAATTTCACACATACCGATCTACATGTGTGCCTGTCTTCCTGAGGATGGGCACGCGGTGATGCCATCACAGATGGGTTTCTGAAGCATCCAGAATGCAAGTCAATCCCATTCCCACCTGGAGCAGGACACAGCCTGAATAATGACTGCATCATGAACCCACCCAGGCTACAAGTACCAGGCTCAGTGCACAGATCAACCAGAAGAGAACAATGGGAAGGAGAGGTTCATCCTAGACAGAGCATCACCTCCTACGGGGCAATGAACATCTATTATGCAGGCTAAGAACATCTATCTGGGTAATTTTCCCTAAGTCCCAAGGTCCAGGTTGTATTGTTTTGTCACATGGTATAGACCTAAGTATGGCCCAAAGTTTACATGTTTAAAAAAATCACAACTACACCCCCCACCGAGGGAGACTTTCTTTAATCATGGTCCAAGTGTTGCAGGAAATGATTCTGTTTGAAACAAGTCTGCTGCAACATCCATGGCTTTAGTAATCTACTGTGGCCAGACATATGCGATTGCAAGTGCTCAATGTCAAGGCAGAAGAATGTGAAGAAAGGTTTTCAGGTGACTTAGGAGGAATATGACCAGAAGGACAGTGCATTTATACACAGTAAACAGGCTTGGAGAATAGCAATCCTCTGCAGTTCTAAGTTCTAAAAAGTCCCTGAGAGGAGTTTGGCATTCAGATGGAGGGTGCATCATTATGGGTCATCGTGGATCACTGTGGGCAGGAAACAGTGACATTTCTTTTCAGTGCTGTGGCTGTTGCTGCACCAGCAGCAGAAAGGAGAAATGCAGGAGTAGGTACCCCAAGACAGTGCATCTTCACATACTGCTTTCCCTGCCATCTCATTGTAATGAATTAACCTGGGTGGACTTTCAGGCTGTAAGAGGGGTAGGAAACACAATCCAGCATTGTAGAGATGAACAGAAATAGAAAATTACTAAATTTCTTTAATGATTATCTGTCCTCAGCCTCATATCATACTGCACAATGTAATTATGTTGCCAAGGTGAGCCAGTGAACAAAATAAGAAGAAAAAACAGCATGACTATCCTGCATCATAGGAAAAGAACGTCTTTGAAATAAGACAGATTTATGAACATGGGATAGTAAAGAAAATAGTGAATCCTTTTTAGAAAATGTTTCTGTTTCAGAAGAAATATTACAAGGACATTTGCTCAGTTGGTTAATATTTAGAGAATAGGATCTACATGATCTACATGATTTGATAAAGAAATACAGAAAATTTTAAAAAAGAAATATAAATGGATTACTATGTCAGAGTTCCTAAGCAACTGATTTTATATGTGGTAAAGTTCGGAATCAAACAGAAGAATGTTTGGGAACAAGCTCTGTGAAATTTTTTGGCTCCTTTTACAATGTTTACACTACTCAATCCTACTTCTAGCCACTGTCTTCCCCTACAGTGATGACTGCAATCTCATCCGAACCAGTCTCTCTGCTTCCAAACGTGATCATAGTAAACTGTATCTTTTTATTAGTATGGCTATTCACTACATTTTTCCACTAACAAAGAAGCAAGCAGTATAAACTTTTAGAGTTTTATAGAGATTTAGCATACGGGTAAAATTTGTTGAAGAGACCAAGAAAATCCCATGGGCATGGCTTGGTACCTGGAAGTGAGCATTCGCCAGATACCAGAACACACTGGCAGGACTCAAGGACTGCACATCAAGGAGAAAGGTTTCAGTTGTTAAATAAAAGTAAAATGATGTGTTATGGGTCAATTGGAAGTTGTATTGGTGAGAGGAAACATGCATTAGAAATGTTTAATGTTGTCTGCAGGAATAATGCATTGCTTTTCATAGCATGTCACTAAAAGGTGAACTCAGCCTGGGGCACATGTTCTGTGACCAATCCATGTGGACAAAGAGATTCTGTGACTTCTGAACAGTTTAACACAATGACTCACAAAGTTGTCCATTTGAATGTCAAATAAATGTTAAAAAAATGTGAAAACATGAATTGCTTAATTACATTTTACATATTCTTAGCAAAGCCTAATAATAGCAAAATAAAAATTCATTCAATCTTCTGTCCTCTATTACTTATAAACACATAATGCTGCCATTTTCCAATTTTACCTATAAAAATAGTTATGGTATATTTATTCCTTTCTAAAAGTTTTTATTCTTATGCCAATAGAGATCAAAATATTCAGTGAACTTTAATTAGAATTACTAGAAATTATACCCCTCAAAGACATTATTTTAAAGTTATTAAACAGTAAAGATCATAGCCTCAAAGAGAGTTGGAAGTCTATCTAATGTTTTGAAATAAACATGATTTGTTTTCATCACATTCACCCCAGAAACACAAACATCTTCTACCTCAAAGCAATCATGAAAAATGTGAGAAATTAAAGGAAATCTAAGGCAATGGCTGAGGATGTGTCTAATGATGGTACCAAGAAACACAATTTGTTGAAAAGTTAAATTCAAGGGAATTCTAAAAAGTAAGATAGGTAAGAAACTAAAGAGTGGAAGAATAATTGAGGTAATTGAGACTTATTTGTCAAGGAGATTCATGTGCTGGGATAGTGTTCAGAAAAAGAAAATTGCATGAAATTATATTCCATGGAGTGACTGTAGGAAGCTGTCTGTTGTTTTGGATGAATTGTTTGGTAAAACACAAAAGTTAATTGCAAACTCAGGGAGTTGGCAAGCGATTTAGAAATGAGAAGGGAGAAGGCATCCCCACCGGACAGGAATTTTATTTCCTTTATAAAGAGCACTGGTGGATCCAAGAGTAAGCAGAGTGCTCGATGAAAATTGCTCTAGATGTTAACCTATTTACATATTTAAAAATACAAAACTACAAGGGGGAAGATGTAAGGTTAGCAAAGGTAAAAAGGTAAACTGCTGACACTGGATGTGGGTATTCTAATCTCTTAGGATTATTATTTTGAGAATAATGATTCAAAATTATATCAAACATCTGAAGTGATAAAAGATATATTGGTCTTAAATGTATTTGATATATGATTATCCATGTAGCTTTATTAAATTGAGTTACAAAGTTAAATCACTATGTTTCAAATATCTGAAATATATAACTTTCTCATTTATATATTGTTGATAATAAGGTTAAACATTTCTATTTTAAAAATATAATGAGTAAAAATGTTATATTTTGATTTAATATAATTTTATGTTGTTAATATAGGAAATGTGGCCCTCATAAGTGAAATCATTCCTGCAAGAAGTAATAGTATCTTCTGGTGGAGAAAATATGAAGCAGTTATTTTATTTTTGAATTATCACCTCCATAACTTACAGACAACACTTAGTTTAACTTAATTGGCTCATGTTCTGTTACTTCTTATGTGACCCAAATCAAACAAAACCGTAAACGTGTCAAGTTTCACACACTATCTCACTATATTTACTAAATATTTTCTTATTATTTTGATTTTTTCATGTAAATATTTATTTTAGTGTTTAAAAAATATCAAAATATGATGAAGTTTGCAAAGAGTAAAATGCTACATGGTTACAGTTTTTAGCAATATCTATTTGAATCCTATAAATACAATTAATGCAATCACTTGTTTTAATCTTTTCTTTAAACCTAGAGACTTGTGCATGTGAGGCAAGCTCTCTACCCCTGAGCTACATGCTCGACACTTTATATTTCTGATTTTACCTGAGAGAGGTCCTCTCTAAGTTGCTCAGGCTATAATGCAATCTTTGACATAGGAAATTCAAGCTTTTCTTTCTCCGTTTTTACTGTGCTGCAGAGAATAACTAATTCTGATGGCAATTTCTCCTAATTCAAAACCACATGTGGATTCACATAGTAGGATAGAGACCTATCTATATTCATTACCAAATGAGTCATGTGATATAATATCAAAGCAGAAAAGAAATGTGTATACTCTATTAGCATCTGTGAGGGCCAATTTGTGATTTAGACTTATAGATTAGTAACAATCTGACATATTTATCACTATGGTGGACACAGCAATAGGACAGGAATGCCTGGACCAGTGACTGACACATGCAGTGGATGACACAAGACAAGCCCATAACACGGGGCGGACGCCAAACCTCATTCCACCAGCTGGAAGTGAGGGAAAATTAAGTCTTTATTTAATACCACAATGTGAGAGATTGAAATTCTATATGTAATTGAAAATAAGAAGTCCCCTCTCAAAAAAAAAATACAACATTTGAAACTTAATGGTAAGTAATATTTAGAAAGAGAAAGAAGCCAAGTATGGAAGTTACTTACAGGCTAGAGGTTAACAAAAGGGGAGAGAAGAAGCTGAGACATTTATGATTTCCCTGGAGGTCAAAGCTTATATCTTTTCTGGCTTTGCAAGTCTGAATACAATGCATAACTATGAATTTGTTGACATGAATAGAATGTAAATCTAACATGAGTTCATTGTCAAACTATTTATTCATCAAAGTGAATTTCTTTTTACTCAGATAATTTCAATAGTAGTGATTGTTACACATCAAATCTCCCTGAATCACAGAAAATAAGGTTCAGTTACAAAGTAACAAAATTTATGAAGATTGAAACTCATGTCCTAATCCAGTTTTCAAGGAGGAAAACAATGTTGTTAAGAAATACAAATTTACAGAGAGAAAGCAAATTGAAAATCACTGAAACCAATCTCACTACCGTGACAGAATTTGTTCTCGTGGGTTTTTCTAGTAGTCCCAACTTGCACTGGTTGCTCTTTGGAATATTCTTAGTCATCTATTTGATTATCCTGCTGGGGAATGGAGTTATCATCCTAATTACAAGACTAGAGCCCATGCTTCACACACCCATGTACTTTTTTGTCAGTAATTTTTCTTTACTAGAACTCTGCTATGTGTCTGTCACTCTTCCGAGAATGCTTGTGGATCTTTGGACCCAGGAAAGAAATATATCTTTTTTCGCCTGTGCTACACAGATGGGCTTCTTCCTTGTGCTGGGGGCCGTGGAGTGCTTTCTCCTGGTGGTAATGGCCTATGATCGCTACGTGGCCATCTGTAACCCTCTGCGGTACTCCCTGATCATGAACCGCAAGCTCTGCATTCAGCTGGTCACTGGCTCCTGGATCTCCAGCTTCCCAGTCCAGATGGGGCAGACAGTGCAGATTTTCACTCTGCCCTTCTGTGGGTCTAACATCATCAACCACTTCTTCTGTGACATCCCTCCGGTGCTCAAGTTGGCCTGCGGGAACATCTTCGTGAATGAGTTGATGGTCTACGCACTGGCTTTCTTAATTGTCATTGTGCCTTTTATGCTGATCCTTGCATCCTACAGCAGAATAATCTCAACCATCCTGAGGTTGCCCTCAAACACAGGAAGGGGCAAAGCCTTCTCCACCTGCTCCTCCCACCTCATAGTGGTGATTTTATTCTATGGATCTGCCAGTATCACATATTTATATTCCATGTCCAGTCAGTATGAAAGCGTAGACAAGCTGCTTGCTCTTTTCTACACTATTTTGACCCCAATGTTCAATCCTATGATATACAGCCTTCGGAACAAAGATGTCATCAGGGCACTGCGAAAATTCCTACCCAAACTGTTCAATATCTGAGACAATGAATGTGAGAGTATTATTTTTTTAAAAAATAACTTTATTAACAAAAACACACACATACAAAAATTAAAACCATTCAAAGAAGAACAATGCAAGGGGAAAAAAACTACAATAATATTCAAATACAGTAGAACTCAACCAAAACAAAACTGAAAAGCGCTTAAACATTTTCCATATAACTTAAAAAAGCATCTCAAGCACCAGCAAGACACGATGTGATTTGTTTCAGAAAGCTCCCCAAAACCAACATTGAACAAATAGTGTTCTGGAAAAAAACTCCAGTTAGCTACCAGACTCCACATAAGCCAAGCTTCTTCCTAATTTAAATTTCGAAAAAGTCATATGACATGCAATGGAAACACAATCTGAGAAATGTGTTATTAGGCCATTTCATCCATGTGTATCCTTAATTACACTTTCAGTTTCTCACACTAGAGAAACTAGTCGGTATTTACACATGTGTCCTATTTATTTCACTTAAGAAGATGCCCTCAATATGCATCCATTTAGCTATAAATGCCTCTAGTTTCTCATTCTTTGTGGTTGAGTAGTACTCCATTTTATTAAAAAAGCACATCTTCTTTATCCACTTCCTAGTTAATGGGCACTTAGGCTGTTTCCAAGATTTCGCTATTACAAACTGTGCCACTATAAGCATGGGTGCACATATGTTGCTGTGGTATGATTCTTTCATTTCTTTTGGGAAGATGCCCAGAAGGGGAATAGCTGGGTCAAATGGAACCTCTAATCCTAAATCTTTGAGGTATCTGCATACTGATTTCCACAGTGGTTGCACCAGTCTGCACTCCCACCAACAATGGAGAAGGGTTCCTTTCTCCCCACACCCCCATGACAGTATTGTTTTATGTTTAATTTGTATACATAAATAATTACAAACTAATTCGATCTACTCCTGTGTAAATAAGCTGATGGTGTAATTTAAATTTAAATTCATGTCCTCCCAGTTTCAAGAATTATGTTGACTAATTAACAATGTTCTAGTCAAAGTCAGTCTTTCTCTTCACTGTAACTGTTAGAGGTTTGTAGCTAAACAAGAAGATGTGATACATAGTAGGTTCTAAATTGATGCTGGTTTCAAATTCTGTTTACATTAATATTCACTATTGAAGACACCTCACACATTAGATTTTGCAGTTATTATTAAATAATTACTTTTGACAGATAAAAGTATGAATGGAGAGAAATACTTTTGTAACAATAAATAATACATATAATTAGTATATAATACATATCTGTGTATTGCAAAACATTGTGTATTGCAGTTCTATTTTTCTAAACAAAAATTGAAAAAGTGACACTAACATTGAGAAATACTTTAACAAATATAGTATGTAAGTGCTAGACATTTATTCCATTATGGAGTCAATAAAATTTATGTTATACCTACATAATAATGGCCCAATAAAACATTCCTTCTTGTACTCATGCCTTTTGTTTTCCCTTTCAGCATTGACTCTGAGTTAGATAAACTATTAGCTTTGGTCAATGAGGCAATAGCAAACATGAATAATAATTGGGCATTGGGACTTATCTTCTCTAGCAATGGAAACCTTCCTTTACTATATCCAAAAGTCTGTATTACCTCCCAGAGAGTGAGAAATTATACAGGAAGAGGCCACAGGTCATATTTAAGCCATACACTGATGACACTGAAACACACTTATGATATGCTATTATAAAAGTTGGAAAACTATTTTTATCATTGTGTAGTAATTCTTTAAACTATATATTATTCTTATCATTTACACTTGGTTATCAGGTATGGTGTCTCACACATGTAATCCCAGACTCTCGAGGCTGAGGCAGGAGGATTACCTTGAGTTTGAGGCCAACCTGAGCTACACAGTGAGTTCAAGTTCAGCCTGAACTACATATCGAAACCGTGTCTCAAAACCAAACAAACACACAAAGAAAACAAAAATTCAAAAGCAAACCAAAAAACCAAAACAATAACAACAAAAACAAAATAACCCTTTGCCTATCTTTTCCTATAATGTAGTGTTTAATTTAGTTGGTTATTTGGGGGGATAATTATCATTAGAAAGTTGCTGAGTCCTTGTCTATCTGCACTTTTTTTTCATAAAATAAAACATTTTCTTTGAAAAAAATGTTTGTATGTTATTTATGACACCAAAAGTGTTCTAGAGGGTATGCAGAAAAAAATGATTTTGCACATGTTTATGGGAACGTGAACTGGTGCAGACCTTGTGGAAAACAGTAGGGATTTTCCTCAAAGAAAGAAAAATGGTGCTACCATATAAGGCAGCAGCTCCCAGATGAGTATGTATTAACAGGAAATAAAACCAGGATCTCAGAGAGAGCTTCTCCCCTACTCATGTTTATTTTCTCATTCTACACTCCAGTCCATCCTATAGTGTGGATCATAAACATCCCCCATAAGACAGTGCTTTAAAGGCTTACTGTTCAGGTCAGCACAAGAAGGAGGCCATGGAAACTTAAGGTAGGGCTTCGAGAGAGGTCTCTGATCATTGGCAGACTCTGCATTCTGGAAAAGAAAATCAGGCTGATTTGCAAAAGATATTTAAGTAGGGAGGTTGAGGCCGGGGGAATCACTGTGAGTTTGAAGTCATCCTAGGCTACACAGTGAGTTCAAGGCCACTGTGAACTATGTAGTGGGACCTTCACTCTCAAAAACAGATATTTAAGTATTTTTCATATCTTCACTGTGTTCGTCATCTTGCCTGAGATAAGCAACTAATAAGTGGAAAAGGGTTAATTTGGCTCACAGTTCAGAAATCTTGGTTCATGATGTGTTGATCCCATGACTTTTGTACATGTATCCAGGTAGCACAGCACATGGCATAACAAAATCATTCCGGTCATGGATGGAACACACAAAAAAGGAGAGAAGGAAAGGGGGATGAGCAAGGCCCATTGATAACAGCCCATCCAGCGATCAGAAGATTCCCTGGAAACCTATCTTAAGTCCACCTGCTCTCATAGTGCTGAACTTGAGAGGAAGCCTTAAAGCACTGTCCCGAGGGGGAAATTTAAGACCCAAACTAGATAATGACTTGTCTATAATACCACAATAGACATGGTGCTACAGTCGGTTTCTGGAATACAAGCCCAATCCCTTCCTATGTTCCTCCAACTTTGACCAAACTCAATTCCTGATTTCCTCTGACTGCTAGATAAAAACTTAGAGGACCCCTGTGATTCGATCAGAACCACATGGAAAATCTTTGTAATTGAGCGAATTGAGTAGGAAACTGATTATATCTGTAGGATCTCATCATATGTGAACCTGGATCAGAATTTGATTGGATAATGGGGAGAAGATGGACATATACCAAGAACTATAAACCTGGGGAACATCTTACAATTCTGGCTACCACATTGACAAAGAAGAGCACGAGAGAATTATAAGAAAAACAAAAGAAAAAAAAGAAGACTACATTAAAAATAGAATCAGTAAGGGCCGGGGATTTATCTCAGTTGCACCATGCCTGCTGGGCAAGCACAAGGTCCTAAATTTGATCCCCAGTACAAAAAAAAAAGAACCAGTAAGATTTAATGGAGCAATTTTATGAAAAATTGAACCAAGCAATCTGTTGAAATTCTGGTGAAAGTAATAAATCAGTCACACAAGATTAAATATAAAATGATTGGACCTTTCCTTCCTATTTCACCTTATCTATTATATATTTTGATCTTTATTTACACTTTTGGTTTCTCACACCAGAGAAATGATTTGGTATTTACACACGTGTGTCCTATTTATTTCACTTGAGTATGGCCTCAATGTGCATCCATTTAGCTAAAAATATCTCCAGTTTCTCATTCTTTATGGCTGAGTAGTACTCCATTTTATATAAAAATAAATATAGCATGATTGGTCTTATATAAGAAACCCAAAATATACATAAGTTATGGGAAGAAAATGTTCAAACGAGAAGAGGAGCAAGGGAGGGGAATAGGGAAAGGAAAGAAGGGACAAAGAACACAGAATAAAGGGGAAAAATGACAACAGTGATGTTATAAATAAGGTGGAGAAGAGGAGTTGAAGGGAAGAGATGGGAATGGGGGTAAAAAAAGAAAAGGAAATAAATCCTGTACAGGTACAAATTTCCTATGTTGAATGGGATTATTATGTAGATCTAAAATGAAACAATAAAATAAACGCAAGAAAAAGAGAACATAAGGGATGAGAGGAAGCAGAGTGAGAGATCCGTCACTGAAGGGGAGGAGGCCCAGAGAAGTACACAGAGGGTGGGAGGGGAGGCGAAGGGACAGGGAACGTGTGTGATGGTGAAGCACACAAGGGGCTCCGTGGATGAGTGGGACCATGCACTGCGACATGTATAACATGAGGAGAATGGTAAAAACACACCTGGTGAAGGATAGGACCAGGTATACCTACCAGAAATAAGAGACGAAATGGACCCCGGCAGCTGAAGTTATTAAAATTAGGAGACTTTTTATTGCTAGCACAAATAAGTAGCAGAAAAATATACCTAGTATTCAAAGGAAATATGAATTCTACACTTACACATCGATCCACAGCACACACATTCGTGACTGGCAGAAAGCCTCCATGTGTGACCTGGCTAAGCCTAGTTTGTGTTGTCCATTGCTTTAAAATATGTCAATTAATTCAATCTTGAATGGTCTCACTTAACACAATATCACTAGAGTGAAACAATATAATTTATCACAATAATAATTCAAATTCAAAGGGCAATTTAGTCATAATGTATACCTAAAATGTACCAATAATGTTAATAAAAAAGGCAATTTGGTTTTTGGAAAATTCTAAGTGTAATTAGAAAATTTGTTTTGTATTCCTTTAAAACCTTATAAACTGAAGCAAGCAGGAGAATTTTGCCTTGTGAACAAATAAGAAGATGGGGGGGCAGTTCTGGATCAAACAAACTCTGGCTTAAAATTGGAGTCAGTGCGGAAATCACTCAGCAGTTCAGGGACCCTGAAGAAGCTGTTTACAAAAGGTGAAG